GGTCAGGGCTGCGGTGGCCGGGAGCAGCCACTGCACTCCAGTCTGGTTGAGAGTGAGACTGAATTACCTGCATTTTCCCACGGGTGTATAGTTATATATTTACCAACTAAGAAAGTACTTGCTTTTTTAAAAATTAAAAACTGAAAAATGAAAGGAAGTGAGTGCCTTCTCATCTTTACAGGGAAGGAGAGCAAGACAGACGCCCCCCCATCACACACACCAGCAGCATGCCTCCGCGTTAGGATTCCCGAGTGGGCACCTTCTCTCACACCTTACAGTCTTTTCCATGCTGGGGAGACCCCTGCAGCAGGTGCTGTTGGCCTCGCCTCTGCTCAGTCTCCCGCCCCTCGGCTCTCGCCTCTCAGCCTCCCCCCTCCCCCTCCTGGGTCTCTCTCCAGGTTGGGCGCCCTGGCTGGCTGAGCCTCCTGCCTCCGGGCTTTTGCGCTGTTTCCTGTGCCTGGACCATTCCAGGCTGCTCTCTCTCCTGAGAGTGGCTCAGGTCAGCTCCCCCCACCTGGGCCTCCCCTAGCACCCCCCCATGCCGCCCTCTCCAGGCTACTCCATATTTTTTGTCATTGTTGGGCTGGGTTCCTGTCTGCTCTCCCTGCCAGAACAGCGCGGCAGGAGGGCTGGGCTTCCTGTCATTTTTCCCACCACCACGCGACTAGTGTCTAGAGATGTGCCTGCACACCATAGGTGCTCAATAAATGCATGCTGGATGGACAAATAACCAAAAGAACACTTCAGAATACAACTTTACATACACATCATGTTGTGTTTTTAAAAACACAACCAAAAAGAAAAAGTTGGAAGGAAATATTTCAAAATGTCCCCAGTGATCGTCTCTGGGCAATGGAATAGAGGGTGACTTTTTTTTTTGAGTCGGGGTCTCACTCTGTCGCCCAGGCTGGAGTGCAGAGGCAGCCTGGACCTCCTGGGCTCAGACGATCCTTCCACCTCGGCCTTCTGAATGGCTAGGACTACAGGCGCCACCGCATCTGGCTAATTTTTTAATTTTTATTGCAGAGACGAGGTCTCATGAAGTTGCCCAGGCTGGTCTTGAACCCTGGCTCAGGCAATCCTCCCGCCTCGACCCCCCAAAGCGCTGAGATTACAGACGTGAGCCCCCACACCCGGCTATAAATTCGTTAAATTAGGTCTTCCCACTGCAAATCAGTGCTTTCCAGACGTGTTCAACAGGCTTTGCGGTTCTCATTCTGTGAATTTAACAAAAATCCTTGGGAGCTACTGTTCCCGTCCAAACGCCATTCTATGGAAGGGGAAACTGAGGCTCAAGAAAGCAATGAACCTGGGGAGGGAAGGGTCAAGGCCGGCTTTCCAGGAGCGTTCCCTGGGGTTTGGGTATCTGCTGTGGCATGTCCCTGCTGTCCCTTGGGGCCAGGACGGTCTCACTCCCGAAAATTAGAAGTGAGGGTCCCCCGCCGCCGGCTGGGCCCCACTGGACTGTCCTCTCCCTTCTCCTCTCTTGACCCGCAAAGATCCTCCCTGAAGTCCCGCAAACGCGCCTAAGCCTGAGGTTGCAAACCCCAAGGTCCTCTGAGCTCTGCGGGCCCACAAAGCAGCCCCGGATGGTGTGGGGGGCCAGAGGGAGAGCACGGCCTGTCGCAGGGAACCCGGATTCCCGCGGGTTCGGATCTGACTTTCTGGGGGAAACGAGACACTTCTATTTTCATGCGCTATATCCTGATTTTTCAATCTGGGCAACGGATAAATTAAAAATCGAGGAAGACAAAGAAAGGCTGGGACCGGCCATTTGATGACTTCTGACCCCGGCCTCTCGGGAGGGGGCGATGTCGAGGCTGGATCCAAATCGCTTTTAATTTAAGAAAATGTTTTGAGCCTGAACCCTAGTTTGAGCAGAGGTGCCACAAGAAGGCCAAAAGCCCCCAGGCCCCGCCCACAGCCATACCCGCCCCGTGTCCTGCTGTCTATACCAGAGTCTCCTCATGACAGGCTTTACCCCAAAATATTCTGTGGCTTTTCTGTAGAAGCTCGGAAGCTCCTCCTCTAATCCAAGTATGTGTGTCATTCTGCAGAAGGGGAGACCTGTCCTCATGCCCAAGACAGGTTGAGTGGCTGAAGAAAGAAAGGAGAGCATACCCTCAAGGTGAACGGGAGGTCAAGGTCAACTGTGTGAGTGGGAGGTCAAGGTCAATTGGGTGAACTGAAGTCAAGGTCACCGGGCTCGGTGGCTCAGCCTGTAATCCCACGCCTTGGGAGGCTGAGGTGAGTGGATTGCCTGAGCCCGCAGGTTCGAGACCGCCTGGGCAGGCGAGACCTCATTAAGAGACTCAAAGGACTCAAAAGAACTATACTTGCTATGAAAGAAACGTTTACTATATGAATTCCTACCTCACGTTCACTGTATTTTATAAATCCCTACCTCAAACCCCGTAAGACTAGGCATATGTAAGGCGCCTGGTAGTAACTGTGACCGTAAAGTTACAAAATATTTGCAGTGTTTGCACTTAGAACTTTGTTAAGTTTTTGTTTGTCCCATAATAACCATGTTAAATGAAATAACCGGCTTCTTCTGCTTCTGCCACCACTGCTGGCAGTGTGTGAATGTTAAGCAATAAGCCCCTCCTGGACATTCCTTTGCTTGAATTATGGTGGGCTCTGTGGCGCCAGCCACTCTTCTGGTGGGCTCTGTGTTGTTTCAAACCTGCTTGTATGTCGAAGCTGACTGTAAACCGTAGCGTATCTGACATTCCAGGAGGTTTAACTACCTCCCCTCCACCCGCTTGGCCATTAGTAGTCAATCACGGGCAGCCGAGCCCGCGCCTGCACAAATCAAAAGCAAACCCACCAATCTCAAACACTCCTGTCCTCTGACATCACTGTGGATCTAATTGAGAACTAATTATGCAAGGTCCGTGGACTTCGTTTTCTACGTCATGCCCTCTTCTAATTGAACAATATCTCAAGCCTAAGAAAAACTGGTCACGCCCAGCCCTTCCCTCGCAACTGTGTATATAAACCACTTGATGTACTAGGTCAGGGCTCTCGTTCCTGTACGGCTGCGCCAGTTACAGACGTGAGCCCAGAGTCGAGCCTGAATAAAGACCCTCGTGTGATTTGCATAGGAGCTGGCTCTTTGGTGGTCTCTCGGATTTAGGACTTTGAGGTCCAACACTCATCTCTACAATAAATAAAAAAAATTAGCCGGGCATGGTAGTGCATGCCTGTAATTCCGGCTACTCGGAAGGCTGAGGCGGAAGGATCACCGGAGCCCAGCAGGTCAAGGCTGCGGTGGCCGGGAGCGGCCACTGCACTCCAGTCTGGGCGACACAGTGAGACTCCAACTCGAAAAAAAAAGAAGGTTAAGGTCAGTTGTGTAGATGGGAAGTCAAGGTCAATTGTAGGGATGGGAGATTGAAAGGACAGAACATGGAGTCAATACACCCCATGAGCAGCCATTTTAACACTGCCTCGATCTGTCGTGTTTCTCCAGCAGTCCACTCTACCCTCTAATCACTAGCCCAGGACAGAACCGGTTTCTCAGAGGCAGCCATTGATCGTTGCGTCACGACCCCCTCCCCAGCTTGTTTTGTTGTAATTTGCTTTTCCATTCCACACACTTGCCTCCACCCATAAGACCCAGGTCAACCTCATCAGGCCTTCGTGACCTTCCTGACCCGGATCCCACCACCACGGCAGCAGTCGCGTGACGGACCCACCCATCTGCCCGCTGTCCCAGCAGGTCCGGGCCTGGGCTTATCGCCCCTTCCTGATGACTTGGAGCAGGGCACCCCCCAACCACCTGAACGAGCTGCCCCATCTCAGGGGACTGCTGAGAAGCATTTGACCTCAGGCAGCCAGTCTCCGTTGCTTTGTGAAAGTCTGGTGCATCCACGTGACTCTTTGGTCTAGGGCTGCCATGTTTCTTGGCTTTGGCCACGCCCCTACCTTGGGGAGATGAACCTTCTCTCTCTCTGTCCCCCCTCCCCCCCCATTCGCCACTGCTTTGCTAAGCTATGGTCTGACCATGTTGCTCCTCGAGCTACGGACGCCATGCTTCCTAGCTCTGGTCCCCTCCTCTACCTCTGAGAGGTGAATCTCTCTCTCGCTCTAATTTACTTGCTAAATAATATTTCCTAATCTGACTTCTGTGCAATTCTTTGCATCTTTCACGCAGCACCGGATCATACAACTCCACCTCAGCAGGTCTGACCCAACATTATGGAGACCCCACGGGGATATCTATGGTAACATAACAGAGATCAAGGTCAGTTCTCTGGATGGGAGGTCAAGGTCATGTCTGTGGGCAGGAGGTCAGGGTCAGCTTGTGGGGGAGCCGTTTCCTGTGCCCCTCGTGTGCCGGGCTTAGCCTGGACCCTGGGAACACAGGCTTGCCTGTCCTGGAACATCCAGGAGGGGGACAGAGAGGTCGCTCAGGCCTGCCGCCCCTCCCCCACCCCTGTGAGCCAGGTGGGGGGGACTGCCCCACCCGACCTGCAGGGGCTGCCTCCATGGGCTCCAGCCCTCAGGGACACTGGCTGGAGGTTAGAGGCTGGAGGTGAGAGAGGCTGGGATCTTTCTCCCTCCCCGCCCCTTCCGCCCCAGGTCCCCAAGAAGGGCAGAGCAGGCAGCCTCTCACCTTAGACCTCTGCAGACGACCCCTTTCTTTTTTTTTTCTGAGTCAGAGTCTCACTCTGTGCTGAGGCTGGAGTACAGAGGCACACTCACGGCCCCCGCAGCCTCGACCCGCTGGGCTCCAGCGATCCTTCCGCCTCAGCCTTCCAAGTAGCCGGAACTGCGGGTGCACGCTACCACGCCCGGTTAATTTTTTGATTGATTGTAGAGACGAGTTTCACCAAGTTGCCTGGGCTGGTCTCGAACCCGTGGGCTCAGGCAATTCCACTCACCTCAGCCTCCCAAAGTGCTGGGATTACAGACTAAGCCACGGAGACCGGCCAACAGCTCCTTTCTAAAAATGCTCCTCAGCCAGGCTCGGTGGCTCAGCCTGTAATCCCGCGCCTTTGGGAGGCTGAGGTGAGTGGAATTGCCTGAGCCCACGGGTTCGAGACCAGCCCAGGCAACTTGGTGAAACTCGTCTCTACAATCAATCAAAAAATTAACCGGGCGTGGTAGCGCGCGCCTGTAGTTCCAGCTACTTGGAAGGCTGAGGCAGCAGGATTGCCGGAGCCCAGCAGGTCGAGGCTGCGGTGGCCGGGAGCGACCACTGCACTCCAGTCTGGGCGACAGAGTGAGACTCCAACTCAAAAAAAAAAAAAAATGCTCCTCTACATGCTGCTTGGCCTGTTTCCTGTAACAGCCAGACAGAACCCTCTGGTGCCACCGTGCTCACGCCGCACGGGACGACTTGTATCCACCGATGCCGAGGCCCATTATTGTCTACTAACGGTTCTCTTTAACTAGAGCCCTTTTATTTTATTAGGGTTACTCTCTTATTATTTACTCCCCAGAGTAATATCCGTGAAACCCCAGGTTTGCTCCGCAAGTCACATTTTTCCTAAGACTCATTGACATGAACTCATCACTAGTGAATTTAAATGTCTTCACCCACATTCTAGCCACAATCTATATGCACGTGACCGGCACATGGGCCCCTGTGTTTGGGAAACAGTGACATACACAAGGGACAGCAGCTCCCTCATCACAGAACAGAGCTTGGGGACCTCAGAGGAGGGGTAAAGACCTCCCAGAGGAGGTGACATCTGTGCGGGTCAGGACTGAGGAGCGCGTTTCATCAGAAGCAGCCAAGCGCACGGGTGGGAGAGGGGCCGGATGGCTCCAAGGGGATGTCAGAGGCGGGAACTGCGGGGCTGGCAGCTGCAGAGGGTGCCCTGGGGTCACAGGGGGACAGGGGGACCCAAGTCTGCAGAGGCAGGTCAAAGCCCATTTAGAAGGAACTGGAGTGTCACACCGAGGGTTTTAGACTGTTCTCTATGCAGGCAGTTCCAGAGGATGTTTATTTACGTTCTGGGGAGTAAGTGTAGCCCAGGGAGCTAATTGTGTCTGGGAAGTTATGGGTTCAACTGCAGGACTTGTCAGAGCCTTTATGATGCTCTTGTACATTGAATCTCTCCAAGATGATTAACCTCCCCTCCTCAATTCTATGAAGCACTTGATTCACAAGAGATCAGGCCAGATAGAAATATTTTCAGCTTTACAGGCCTCTCTTGCATATTTCTTTTTTTTCCCCTCTCTCTTACAACGCTTTAAAAATGTAAAAATCAGCCAGGCTCGGTGACTCAGCCTGTAATCCCGCGCCTTTGGGAGGCTGAGGTGAGTGGATTGCCTGAGCCCGCGGGTTCGAGACCCGCCTGGGTAGCGAGACCTCATCTCTACAATAAATCAAAAAATTATCCAGGCGTGGTAGCGCATGCCTGTAGTTCCAGCTACTTGGAAGGCTGAGGCGGAAGGATCGCCAGAGCCCAGCAGGTCGAGGCTGCGGTGGCCGGGAGCAGCCACTGCACTCCAGTCTGGGTGACAGAGTGACTCCAACTCAAAAAAAAAAATGTAAAAATCATTCTCAGCTCATGGGCCATTGTTTGCCGAATGCTAGATAAAAATGTGCCCTGAGGCCGGGCTCGGTGGCTCAGCCTATAATCCCAGAACTTTGGGAGGCCGAGGTGAGTGGATTGCCTGAGCCCCAGGGTTCAAGACTCGCCTGGACAACTTGACGAGACCTCATCTCTACAGTACATCAAAAACCAGCCAGGAGTGGTAGCGTGCCCCTGTAAATTCCAGCTACTTGGAAGGCTGAGGCGGAAGGATTGCCAGAGCCCAGCAGGTCGAGTCTGTGGTGGCCGGGAGCAGCCACTGCCCTCCAGTCTGGGCGACAGAGTGAGACTCTGACTCAAAAACAAACAAACAAACAAACAAAAGTGGTCGGGATTATAAACGTCCCCATTGGGGGGGCGGGGGGGGCACATGGCCACATTGACTGTATGTGTCCACTGAAAGACAAATGCCAGTTTCAGAAAAGATAAAATGTAGGGGGACACTGGAGAGACACAGCAGAGTCTGCAGAATGGGCTTGGCCTCGGGGCCCATGAGCTGAGAATGATTTTTACACTTTTTTTGGACACCTTTCTCTGCAGGGCGTCTCCTGGAGCCGTCAGGACTCTGCTTCAGGGCCAGGGGATGGGGGTGAGGCCTGGCGCAGGGAAGCTGAAGGGCCCTACCTGGATCTTCTGGGTCCGCTTGTGCATGGTCTCCATGTCGTTGTTGAGCTCCATCACGTACGTGAAGCGAGCAAAGTTCTTCTCCTCCTTGGCCAGAAAGTCCTCAATGAGCTGGTTCAGGTTCCTGCCCTCAGCCAGTTTCAGCAGCCGGAGATAGGCCACCTCGTAGCTCTCGAAACTCTCCCCCTTGCTCTTCCTGCTGCGCTTCATGACCTTGAGATCTGGGAAGGGAACGCCAGCCACAGTGAGTCTCGAAGGAAGCCACTCTCCCTGCTGGGCAGGTCCTAGGCCAAGGACAGCGCTCTGCAGGAACCCAGGGGAGGGGTGGAAGCATCAGCACCTGCAACTCACTTCACCGTTATCCAACAGGCACATACCACGAGCCAGGCACTGTGCTGGGCGCTGCTGACACAGAGCCCGGCCCCCTGGAGCTTTTAGTGAAGGAAGCAAGCAAATAGAGAAAAGAAGATATCCAAGTAAACAGAAAAAGAAGTCCAGGAATTACCCTGGTGGCTGAAAGGGGACACTTCAGGTGCTGCAGTGCGGGTCCTGCTTTAGATGGGTGGTCAGGGAAGGGCTCTTGGTAGAGGTGACATTTGAGTGGAATGAAGATCAACGGAGTGGCCAAGACCTGGGGCAGAAGCTCTTAGGTGGCCAGGCTCTGTGGGTCGTGTCTGTAGTCCCAGCGCTTTGGGAGGCCGAGGGGAGAGGATTGCCTGAGCTCAGGGGTTTCGGGCCAGCCTGGGCAACTTGGCAAGACCTCATCTCTGCAATAACAATAATATTAAAAAATCAGCCAGACATGGTAGCACACGCCTGTAGTTCCGGCTACTTGGAAGGCTGAGGCGGAAGGGATTGCCGGAGCCCAGCAGGTCGAGGCTGCGGTGGCCGGGAGCGGCCACTGCCCTCCAGTCTGGGCGACAGAGTGAGACTCCAACTCAAAAAAAATAAAATAAAAATAAAATAATTTGTAAAACAGAAGCTCTTGAGAAACCTCAGAGCGCAGCGAATTCAAGCAATCAGAACCAGAGCGCTCCCCTCCGAGCCTCGTCCTCTCCAGCCCGGACACCCGCAATGGCCCCGACCCTCCCGAACCCAGCCTTGTCTCTCTGGTTCAGCCTCCGTGCGGCAACTAGAGGGATCCTCATAGGTGCATCTGGCCCCATAACCCCCTTACATGCTGTGGCTCCCCACTGTCCTTGGGATGCATCTAAAGCGTCTCAGCATCGTTTGGGATCGGGCTCCTTCAACACCTCAGTGCCTGGTCACCGCCAGACTCTGTCACGACTCTGCCTAAATCCTCCGATGATGTCCAACCACATTTAGGAAACCCTGTGTTCCCAATGCAGCCTGCAAGGCCCTGTAAGACCTGGCCTGCCTCTCCAATCCCACCTCCGACCATGCTCCACCAGCATCGACTCATTCTAGCCACTACGACCTGCTCTCTGTTCTTCCCAGAATGCCAACCTCATTCACACCTCAGGGCCTTTGCAGGTGCTGTTCCCTCGGCCTGGGCTGCTCGTCTCCCAGGCCTCCATGTGGCTGGTTCCCTTGTGTCATTCAAGTCTCTTCCCAAGTGGCACCTCCTCCACAGGCCCTCCCTGATCACCTGGGATGAAGCAGCCCCGGTCACACTCTGTCTCTGTCCACCTGTTTTATTGCCATCTCCATGCTTGGTGGTTTCTGATATAGATTAATTTTTGTGTGTGCTTCTTTGTCATCAGTTCCTGGAGGGCAGGACCTTTGTTGAACTCCCCACAGTATCCTCCAGCTGCCCGCCCAGTTCCTGGCACACGGTGGGGGTGAAGGGATGGTCCCCTGGGAGCGGTCACTGGCTGTTTCTCCAGCTTCACCTCTGTACCCCAGTCTGGCCCTTCCCACGTCTGCATCTTGTCTTTGCCGGTTCCTCTGCCAGGATGGTTTGCTCCCTCGCAACTAGAGCCTGTTCATCCTTTAGGTCACAGGCTGCATGTCCCCTCTTCAAAGACCTTCCTCGGCTACGCTGCCCAATGAGGTCCCCCTGTTAGCATTCCACCTCAGTCTCTGGTTTTCGTCCTTCAAAGATTCTATCACAGCTGGGCTCGGTGGCTCAGCCTGTAATCCTGCACCTTTGGGAGGCTGAGGAGAGTGGATTGCCTGAGCCTGCGGGTTCAAGACCCACCTGGGCAGGCGAGACCTCATCTCTACAATAAATCAAAAAATTAGCCGGGTGTGGTAGCACGTGCCTGTAATTCTGGCTACTTGGAAGTCTGAGGCGGAAGGATGGCGGAGCCCAGCAGGTCGAGGCTGCGGTGGCCGGGAGCGGCCACTGCACTCCAGTCTGGGCGACAGAGTGAGATTCCAACTCAAAAAAAAAAAAAAGATTCTATCCCATTCTAGGGCTTTGGGAGGCCAAGTGGGGGGATTACTTGAGCCCAGGAGTTTGAGCCCAGCCTGGGCAACCTAGCAAGACCCCATGGCTATAAAAATGAATCATATCACAACTCGAAGTGTTTGCATTTGTCTGCTTGTGTTTGTCTTTCCTGTGTCCGTATCTAGAATGGAAAGCTCCATAACATGCAGGCTGACATGACCCTGGTCACGGATCTCTCTCCGGTCCCCACCACGGTGCCCGTTTTCAGGGTAAGTGAGCGCCACAATTTCCTGGAAGACCAGGCGTGGACCAGCTGAGCAGATGAACGGAGGCGTCAGCGGGCCACAAAGAACGTCTCCCCGGAGGGTTACCTTGAGGGTGCGTGCAGCAGGAGGAAGCTGGGCTTTCCGCGGGGATGCCGCGGGGGAAGACAAGGGCAAGCTGTGAAAAGAGGAAGGGTAGATGCGTGACTCAACAACCAGAAAGGCCTGCTGGCTTGGCAGTGGGCAGGAGGGATCCTGTTGGACTCCACAGTTCTGAGCTTGGATGACTGGGGGAATCTCGAGGCTGCTCACTGGACCAGCAGAGAGAAGAGAGTACCAGAAAGGGACGTCAGGCTCTGGGGGACAGACAGGTCTGGGATGGGGCCCTGGATCTGCTGCTTAAGCTGCTGCGGATCTGGGCTGGATCAGGTGTCCACTCTGAACAGCAGTGTCGTCCTCCTCGGCAAACTGGGTCCGTTAATACTCATGTCTGCTTCTTGGGGTCCTGAGGGCCAAGTGGAAATCACAGGGGCCAAGCACTCAGAACAGAAGTTTGCATAAGTCAGTGGCTCACAAGTGGATGCATGGATGACTGGAGGGTGGTCGACAGATGGAAGAACAGGCGGATACATGATTGGACGGATGAATAGATGACTGGGTGGATGGATGGATGGATGGATGGATGGAGAGGTGGCCCAAAAGGCTGACAAAATTTAGGTGGTTTTTGTTATTTTAGAGAGTAAGAGATGGGGGTTTCTCAGGAACACATTTCCAGTAATACGGACCCAAAGGATAAGGCAGGAGAGACTGCAAGAACAAATGTAGCTGCAGAGAGGGCACTCAGAAGAGCTCGGGTTTTAAAAGCTATTCAGCCTTTGGGAGGCTGAGGTGAGTGGATTGCCTGAGCCCGCGGGTTCGAGACCCGCCTGGGCAGCGAGACCTCATCTCTACAATAAATCAAAAAATGAGCCGGGTGTGGTAGCGCGCGCCTGTAGTTCCAGCTACTCGGAAGGCTGAGGCGGAAGGATCGCTGGAGCCCAGCGGGTAGAGGCTGCGGTGGCCAGGAGCGGCCACTGCACTCCAGTCTGGGCGACCGAGTGAGACTCCAACTCAAAAAAAAAAAAAAAAAAAGCTATTCAGAAAAGCATGAACACAGCAGGCCTGTGATTCTCTTCAGCTTTCTTACACCGATGTAAAACTTTCCCTGGATGAAAAGAGTAGCTCACTCTGCCTAGACAGCACAAACGTGCTGAACACCTGCTTTCCCTCTGGGAGTCTGCAATTGTGGTGCGTGCTAGGCCGAGGGTGTCCATGTGACTGGCCCCCAGTTGGAATTTTGAGCACTGAGTCTCACTTGTGCTCCCCTGTTGGGCAGCTCTTCCCATGTGTCGTCACAGTGAGGTGCTGGAGGAACTAAGTGTGCTCTGTATGGCTCCATCTGGAAGTGGAGGTTCCAGGTCACCAGGTTTCCTCCTGTCTTTGCCCTATGCGCCCTTTCCCTCTGCAGATTTCACTCTGTAACCCCTCACTGTAATATATCGTAGCCAAGAATGTGGTTACATGCTGAGTCCTGTGAGTTCTTCCAGCCAGTCATCAAGCCTAGGATGATCTTGGTGACCCCGGCACACAAGTCTCCCCCTAAATAGGAGAGCCCCAAGTGAGGACACATAGGTCAGGGCTGACAGGCAAATACAGGGTGCCCAGCTACATCTGAATTTCAGATGAAGAATACATTTTTAAAATATAAGCATATCCCAGTTATAGATCCACAACATTCTTTACTGTAATCATGTGCCAAATACTGCATGGGACATAGTTATGCTAAAAATTTACTCATTGCTGATCTGATGTTTAAAGTTAACCAGGCATCTTGTATTTTTGTTTGCTAATTTTGGCAATCCTACTACAAGAAAATCTGGGCAACTTTCACATAAAGAGAGAGAGAGATGAGCGAGATGAGAGAGAGACAGAGAGAGAGAGAAGGAGAGAGACTGAGCATGCACCTAGAGAGTTCACCTTTTTCCTTTCTGGCCTGATCCTCGAACTCAGTGCGGTCATTCAGTTTGACGAGCAGGAAAGACTTCAGCTTGGTCTCGTGGGCATAGAGACGCTCCAGCTCTCTGATTTCCAGGTTATACTGTGAGATGTCTTTCTGCTGGCGGTCCTTCATGGCAGCCATTTGAGCCATGGCCTCCGACCTGGGCAGGGAGGTGCAGAGTCTGCATGTCCAGAGGCGTCTCCCTTCTCCCTCCCTCTTTCCTTGCCCATTGAGAGGGACTACTTGCCTGGCCAATGACCAAAGCCTTTTTAATCGTGAAGGCTTCTGGGGGTGGAAAAGCAACCCTCCTTGCCTGAACAACAGGAGCTGTGGGCTCTGGACCACCCCCAGAAGATTATCTTTCTATCATTGTCGTCATCATCTTCACCGTCACCATCACCATCAACATTCCCACCACTGCCGCCATCACCGCCACCACCACCAACAACAACAACAACACCAACACCAACACCATCACCACCACTGCCGATACTACCACCACCATCACCAACACCAACACTATCGTCACCACCAACGCCATCACTAACATCACCAACACCACCACCACCACCACCACCATCACCACAACCCCATCACCCACACCACAAACACCTACACCATCATCACCACCACCATCACCAACATATCACCAACAGCAACACCATCACCACTAACAATACCATCGCCATCCACACCAACACCATCACCAAGACAATCACCAACACTAACACCAGCATCACCAACACCACCACTATCACCATCACCACCGTCACCACTATCATCATCACCACCAACACCAACACCATCATCCCCAACACCATCACCATCACCAACACCATCACCACCATCACCACCACCACCTCCACCACCAACACCGACACTAACACCATCATAGCTCCTACCACCACTTCTATCACTTCCACCACTATCAGCATCACCACCACCAACGCCACCACCACCACTGCATCACCACCCCCCCACCACCACCACCACTACCACCGTCACCAACACCATCATCACCATCACCACCACCACCATCATCACCTCCACCACCATCACTACCACCATCCCATCACCACCACCACCACCACCATCACCACCACCACTGTCATCACCTCCACCACCATCACCACCACTACCACCGTCACCACCAATACTGTCATCAACACCATCATCACCACCACCATCACCACCAACATCATCACCAGCACCACTAACACCAACACCCCCACCACCAACACCACGACCATCAACATCACCACCATCCCCAACACCATCACCACCAACAATGTTATCACCACCATCATCACCACCACTACCACTGTTACCAACACCACCACCACCACCACTATCACCATCATCTTCCCCATCACTATTGTCATCACCACATATCAATTACTACGTCCCAGACACTCCCTTACACATGTATTATTCAATCCTGTCACCTAAAGAGATCCTACAACAATGTCGCAGCCATGGAGTCAGGATTCACACCCAAATCTGACTCTAAAACCTGCACTCTTGACTGTTGGGAGCCAACATCTATAGCTACATGGCTGAGGCCTGTAAAGGCCCATCTGGAAGATCATCTCTGACATAGGATATCAGTTATACCTATAATACTGGCATGTGATTAGTGACCAGTGTGCATACATGGCAGTAAAACTT